TTCATGAGTACATAGAAAATAGAGATTTGAGTATTGGATAAACCCACGCTCAGAGAATTACTTCATGGATGATATCACGAGTGATTATGAGACGATAATATCTTATATTCTTAAAATGGAGATATATGAGTTGTAATTTACAAGTCAGTTGTACATTGGTGTTACGTAAACACATCAATAACTTGGTGTTATAAAATGTAGTGTCATGTGCAATTTGGTGAGTAAAAGATACAAGCACATGAGTCAAAGTTTATTCGCTCCTTTTTCCCTAACGGGAAAAGTGATTTGTTTGGCCCTATCGATGATTTGGTGTTGACTTATAGTGTTGGGCCCAACCATGACTAAATTAATGTGTTCAATTAGAAGTCTTATGATGTCATCACAAATCAGGAATTCGGGAAACAGAATTTTGGACAATAAGATTGATTCTAATCCATGACTCATGTCCATACGATATCTAGAAGAATAGAGAAATATTTGATCGCTTATTTAAAGGACAAATATCTGATCGGATCAGAGTTCGGCAGTTGCTTTGGAAAGCACCCTTTGCTATTCATTTTAGAAGTTATACCAGTAATTTAGTTTTATACTTATCCAATTGGGAGACTGTAGGATTAGGTGTCTAAGCCAATAACTAAATTAGTATAATATTGAATTATTAGCAAAGTCCTTTTTGGTTGCCCTCAAACCTAGTAATGAACTGGAATGCTATTCGGAGAGAGAGACTGGTTTATTAATTTATTATATGATTAATAAATTAATTAGAATTCGAAATAAATAATTTATTAATATATTATGAGATTAATATATTAATTAGAAATAATATTATTTAATTAAGAATTAATTAGAAATTAATTGGAATTAATTAGATTAATTAAAAGTAGAAGGACTAAAGGTGACAATGTTCAAAAGTTGAGCATTGACCAATTCTATAACCTCTAATGAGGGTGGACGAATTCTAGAAGGGGTTCTAGGGTTTTCCTTGGGCAATAAGGAGTCTTGGATGCCTTAGGGAGGAAGTAAAGGGATAAGGGATTGTTTAAGGAAACTGCTTTATCCTAGCATCCCTTAGTCACTTATATATAAACCCTCTAAGGGTTATGATTTTCGGCTATCCATTTTATAAGAGAGAAAACCAAAAATTATCCTCCTCATCCTCTCTCCTCTTTAGCCTACAACTTGCTAGGATTTAGGTGTGAGTCATTAGAGGCACGAGACTTCAGGTGCTTGCTTACTGAAAACCAAGAAGGAAGGATTACTAGTTTATTTGCAATAATAAACTAAGGTATGTATTTTGGTATCTTGAAAATAACAATGTACTTCTAGGGTTCTTGGTATTCAATAGTTGTTTACAAATCATAGTGAGAACATAGATCCTTAAGGTGCATGTGAACTTAAGGTTTATGTTTTTCCGCAGAAAAATAGTTTTTTGTAACATATAAAACCCATCAGAACTTACTTATTAATTATTATATTTATTAGAGCGACCATTTTCCTGATCACTAACACAACTGGGTAGTCATTTGTTACCAACTCATTAAGCTCCTAAAAACTATTACTAAGTGACTTAATCCCTTAGGGTTTACCCTCATTCTCTGAATTAAGAGTTCCACCACATAAACCCTTTGCCAACCTTACCATTTGGTTTATAATGACATCGTATAATGAACTTCAATATTATCTCGACTTTTATTAACTCTTCATGACCTAAACTTACGTAAATACAATTACGTATTAACAAATCGAGAGGACACATTAGCTTGAACGACACTCTTATCCGTGCTAAAGGCCTCATGACCTCTATCGTTAAGCCATAATCGTCGCTCAGTGACTCTAGTTTCGAAATGCCAAAGAAACCAACGAGAAAGGTCTTTTAACTACTTCTAGGGGTTGAAATATTGATCCAGACGCCACAACCCTTTTATGGACGCCTTGCGTCCTGACGGCATGCCCACCAACTGCCACGTGTCATGCCCATATGCAATATGTGATATGACTCATGATACCAATGTGCCACGTTTTAGATCCGAACGCACCACATTTTATTATACATGTCGTACGTCTAAGCCACACGTCGCGTCTCAGTAAAATTTGACTTTCTTTGACTTTTACCAGATGACATTCTACTTTCTCTTTTATCCTTCCTACATATAGTATAAGAAATACTCAAATTTTCGGGTCGTTACACATGTCTTGGGCAATTTTACTAAAAATGACACTTGCCAATGTATGAAGACAAGCCAAAGCACAAACATAATCAAAATTCATACCACATATGCCACTATCCCATAAGATGTGGTCTTGCAACACCCATGATTGAGCCCGTGAGGCCACAAAAGCATATGAGGAGAGGAAATAAGGATGAGGGGCAGAAAAGGGTACACACTTTTAGAATCGGAACCGTTTCGAAACTGCAAGTTCCGAAATTGGAACCACCTTAAGCGGTTCTGGTTCCGGTTCTTATTTTTATGGAACCGCCACCATTTGGGTACCCACAAGAACCGGTATATATATATATATATATATATATATATATATATATATATATATATATATATATATATATATATATCACAATCACATGCTTTATACAATATCTTGAATAACATCATTTAAAATTATAGAATTTTGATTAATTTGTTTTGAACCCTTAAATGTCTATGTGTAATTTTCATTTTGAATTTAAATTATCCAAGTTCAAAATGAATTTGTAGATAGTAGACATAATGTACTATTATCTTCAAGTTAAATTTTAGCTCATACAAATGTTCGTTTAACTATGGACTTTAATTGTTTTAATTTTTTATATCAAACCTATAAATTTAAGATACATGGAATTAGTAGAGTTTATGTATAGGTTTTAAGAACCCTCGACACATTTTTCGTTATGTAATTCAAACTACTGATATTTTCTAATTCTCATTTTTAGTAGGTAACGAATTACATATTGATGTTATCGATAATTTTCTTGTAAGTTTAAAATATATATACTTTTATAAGATTTAAAAATTCAAAAAATTTAACAAACCAGGTACCCGATATTGGAACCGCTATCCACCGATTTTGGTTTCGGTTCCAACATTTTAGGAACTGCCGATTCCGGTTCTAGATAATTAGGGCAGCTACCCGCCTATGTTCATCCTAGGGGAAGCCTCTACCATTAAGTAGAATCACAAGCCAACAAACCTAATTGGTAGTGAAATAAATTGTGATTGAACGTTACTAAAAAGGACGGACCTTCTCAAATCACCATGTCCTCAATCAACCCAAATAATTCTTTATCAAAGAACAAGGTCACCTCCTCTATGTGAACGAGTTGACACGTCCTCGGCCAAATAATAGTGTGACAATGTCCTTGCAAGATCGAAGCAAAATAAGCACATTTTGGGGGCAAATTAGTCATTTCAAGTTTGATATGGACCATCCACGAAACAAATAAATTTTCCTAGGGACCAAAACTAACAAAAAAGAAAATTCTGATTTTAAACTATTACTGCAAATTAAAACTTTTTTGGATTGAATCTCAAAAGCATAACAAGCCATACGACTATTACTGCAAATTAGGGGCTGTTTGATAGTTTCTGATTGAGTAAGATCTGACTGAATCAGAGCCCAGACTCAGTCAGAAGCTCTGACTACGCTGCCTCTGACTGAAACAATGTTGTTTGATTACATATCTGACTAACTTTGCTGAATGCTAAACATGACTATTTTACCCTTCTATTTTGTTTTGTGCCTAATAAAATCGATTAGTTTGAAAAAAAAACAAAAGTTAGCAACTCTCTATTATTGGACAAATAATATTGATTTATAAATAATCGAACAAACAAAAACATCAAAAGAAAGTATCATTAAACGTACTTTTATATATATCATTAAACGTACTTTTATATATTTTTTTTATCATAATCTATACATGTTCGACTTTTTAATAACTACAATCATCCAAATAACATAAATAAAACATATAAAATCAAGGTTCTAAAGAATCATCTTTCATTCTTTCCTCGATTTGGTTTTTGTTGACACAACAATACTCGCATAGTTCTCCTCCAGTTGTGAAATCATCACACTTATCCCACCTGATAGTGATAGCATCATTGCTGAAAGAAAAGAAAAAAAAAGAATCAACATTCAGAGATATCAAGATTTTTTCCAGAAATTCATGTATCATCTATATGTATCTGATTTCAACATTCACTTTCATCTGTATGTATCTAATTTCATGTGTATGTATCTAATTTCAGCCACATACTAGGAAAATAAGCAACAAGACGAAAACATTTAAACATTTATTTAAAAAAAAATAAAAAAGAAAAGAAAAAGAAATAGTGTGGGAAGAGTACCAACGCCGGAGATGGAGTGACAGGAAACAAGTGGTCGGTGCAGGAAAAACAGTGGCGGAGGAAGGCGATGGTTGGCAACGCTGTTGTGGTTGACGGTGTAGATGTGCTCGACGGCACTGCTATCTGCGACTTTAATGGACGTCGGCAATGGAACTCGCCAGAATTCTGGAGGAAGAAAGCTTGACCGGGTGGAGGAGAAAGAAAATGGTGATACGTTTTTCAGCAGCAGGAAGAAAAAGAAGAGGGTGAATTAGGGCATAAAGGGGAAAGTGGGTTTATTTCACCAGTCAGTGTCTTTTTTTTACTTATTCGGTAAGAGGTTATTGACCCAGTAAGAAGCTTATTTTTTGCAAAAACAAACAGTCTTACCAGACCGAGTAAGACATTACCTCTTACCGGACTCAGTAAGAGGCCAAACAAACAAGCCCTAAAACTTATTGAAATATTATGATCGGCCAATCGGGGTTGAAATTGTAAATAATTAATTGCAGACTAATAATACAAAAAAAAAACTTTATTTTATACTTTATAGCACAACTCGTTCAAAATGTATAAAAACTAAAATTTAATTAAGAAAAACAAGGATCTGCTTCCTCACCATCATTCCCTCTATTTCAACCAGAGACCTACTCCAACCCTAGACAGCATTCAACTATGGCGGCCGTCGCTTCACCAAAGCCTCCCGTCTCCGCCAAGCCTCCTTCTATCACCCACCCATTTCAGCCTCGCACCACTCTCCTCCCTCGATTTGCCCTTCCCATTGCTTCCAATCCTAAAAAACGCCACCGTCTCCACATCTCCAATGTCCTCTCCGATTCAAAACCGACAACCGCCGCCTCCACCACTACCCGTCCTCCGCTGCCTGCGGAGCCTTTCGTCTCCCGCTACGCCCCTGACCAACCCAGAAAAGGTTCCGATGTCCTCGTGGAAGCTCTCGAGCGCGAAGGTGTCACCGACGTCTTCGCCTACCCTGGCGGCGCATCCATGGAGATCCATCAAGCTCTGACCCGGTCTCAAATCATCCGAAATGTCCTCCCTCGCCACGAACAGGGCGGTGTGTTCGCCGCCGAAGGTTACGCTCGCGCCTCTGGTCTTCCCGGCGTATGTATCGCTACCTCCGGTCCCGGAGCTACCAATCTGGTAAGCGGCCTTGCTGACGCGCTGCTCGACAGTATCCCCATTGTTGCCATCACCGGCCAAGTCCCCCGGAGAATGATCGGAACCGATGCGTTTCAAGAAACCCCGATTGTGGAGGTAACGCGTTCCATTACTAAACACAATTACCTTGTTTTGGATGTCGAAGACATCCCCCGTGTCGTCCGTGAAGCTTTCTATCTCGCATCTTCCGGTCGACCTGGTCCTGTTCTAATCGATGTCCCGAAAGATATTCAGCAACAATTAGTCGTACCCAAATGGGATGAACCCATGAGATTATCTGGTTACTTATCTCGATTACCAAAACCACCAAATGAAGAACATTTAGAACAGATTATTCGTTTAATAGCAGAGTCAAAAAGACCAGTTTTGTACACCGGCGGTGGCTGTTTGGATTCCAGCGTTGAATTGCGCCGATTTGTTGAACTCACCGGAATCCCAGTCGCCAGTACTTTAATGGGTCTCGGAGCTTTCCCAGCTTCCGATGATTTATCCCTTCAAATGCTCGGAATGCATGGAACTGTTTATGCGAATTATGCAGTAGATAAAAGCGATTTGTTGCTAGCGTTTGGGGTTAGATTTGATGATCGTGTAACAGGAAAGCTTGAAGCGTTTGCAAGCAGAGCCAAAATCGTTCACATTGACATCGATTCTGCAGAAATTGGTAAGAACAAAACACCCCATGTTTCCGTTTGTGGTGATATCAAGATCGCATTACAGGGTCTCAACAAGATTCTCGAAGAAAAAGGTGAGATGAAAAATCTTGATTTCTCATCATGGAAGAAGGAATTAGATGAACAAAAATCAACCCACCCTTTGAGTTTCAAAACTTTCGGAGATGCCATTCCTCCTCAATACGCAATCCAAGTGCTCGATGAATTGACTGGTGGAAATGCAATAATCAGCACCGGAGTTGGTCAACATCAGATGTGGGCTGCTCAGTTTTACAAATACAACCGCCCTAGACAGTGGTTAACCTCCGGTGGTCTAGGAGCCATGGGGTTTGGCCTCCCTGCTGCCATTGGAGCCGCCGTTGCAAGACCTGACTCCATAGTCGTTGACATCGACGGTGATGGAAGCTTCATGATGAACGTTCAAGAACTCGCCACCATTAGAGTGGAGAATCTTCCGGTGAAGATTCTGTTACTGAACAATCAACATCTGGGTATGGTTGTTCAATGGGAAGATCGCTTTTATAAAGCGAATCGAGCACACACGTATCTTGGAAACCCATCAAAAGAAACAGAAATATTCCCGAATATGTTGAAATTTGCAGAAGCTTGTGATATTCCTTCAGCAAGAGTGACAAAAATCGGCGATCTTAGGGCGGCGATTCAGAAAATGTTGGACACACCTGGGCCGTATCTGTTAGACGTTATTGTCCCACATCAAGAACACGTGTTACCCATGATCCCCGCCGGCGGTGGTTTCATGGATGTCATCACCGACGGCGATGGCAGAATTAAATATTAAGCTTTTTGAATTTCATTTCTTGTTGTGTAATGTATGCAAAAATACTCTTATTATTTCCCTTTGATGTTTGTTATTTAGTAGTTTATCGACTTTTTTGATAATAAACTTTTATTTTACAATAAACTTGATCATATTATCATAATTCATAAAACTTATTGTACTACAGATGATGATTCGAATGATTTTCTCCTAACGAGTAAACATGTAATTTTCGAAGGATGTGTGGTTGTGTTTGTATTTGTATTATGAGGACTACAAAGCACAAAATCGGGCCTATGGAGTGCTAAATTCAGCCGATCTTCACCCATAACCATTGACGTGGCATCAAGGAGAACATGCCACGTGTTTCTATGTGCTTCAGAAACCCAATGCATCGAGTAAGGTGTCCCATTTACATTCGCAGGATACGAAAATAACCCTTTTGGACTCTGTTTACTTTTTCTTCTGAAATATTGGCTAAGTTGTGAACCTTTGATTCTCAAATCTAACCATGTCTCCGGCGCCGATATCACTTTCGATTCTTTATATCCCGCAAACGCTTTTATGTAATCATGTTCTTCGTCTATAATCGTCATGTAGAAATTCCCTCTGAAAAAAGGGTAACTTTCTCCGACTAACATCATCGCGTCTCTGTAACTTGAAGTGAAAAGAACAAGGTACTCATTTTCCGGCAATCCACAGTGGTTTAAAACTTTATTCCGGGCTTGGATTTCCGGTATTGAAATGAAGCTTCCGAGATACGACGACTTTTTCGTCAGTATATCGAGTAATCTTGATGGTTCGAGTTGGATTCTTTCAAGATCGTGAAAGTTAGATCCAAATGTTTCCCGAAATACCCCTCGTGGAGATTTCCGTTTTTCGTCCGGCGAAGTCTCCGGTGGGGTAGGGGGTTCTTCTTTGACGCAAAGCTCGTAAAGGTCAGTTTTGTCTTTTCCTTCAACTAATGCGTTTGAATATTCGGGGTATTTCGCGACGACGTATTGTTCGACGTATTGCATTTCTGCAGGGGTGATCGGACCGGACCACCGGAGGTCAACGCCGTGCAAGGTTGATATGGCTTCTGCTATGATATGCGGTGGTATTACTCTGTTTGCTCTCTGTTAATCGAAACACATCATTAGATCTTCATTAATATCATCGAAAATCATGAATCTAAACCTTAAAGTTTACAAACGTACCTTAATGATCATACTGTTTGGTCTCCCGGCTTCTGTTTTCTTGAAAAGCGACTTCACCATATCCTCCTGATTCACGTCAATTATCCGGTGAGTTTTCCGGTGGGTTTCATCGGAGAAGAAAAAAGATTAGTGAAGTTCGTACCTTTGGTCGAGTTTGGACGATTCTAGATTCTTCATTGTTTCTTCCCATTCTAAAGATCTTTTTGAACAAATTGTTACAAAATTGATAATATATTATAGACGAGTTGGGTGATATTTACAATGCAATTTGTTACTTCTTATACGCTTATTATTACAACAGTGGAAGTTTCCAAGAAACAGGGTTTTGACATAGTCAAGATTAGAGTTAAAATCCTACTCATTTCTTGTTTCTGAAAGCGAATTTAAGGATAAATAATCTTTATGCCTTTGGGTTAGTTTATAGTTTATAGTTTATAGTTTATATAGTTTCTACTTTGTACTATTTTACTGATTCTGGTTTGACTCGGTGAGTTGTTGTCGAGTCACTGTCGACCAACTGATTGGTGACACGTGTTGGGCGATTAAATCAGTACTGAGTTGGAACTTCGGTTGTGGATCCGAGTTGGGGTTATGTTCACACTCCGTCTGTCCAATTTGAGGATTTAATCTAGTTTATGAATCCCACTAATCATAATTAATTAAGAAATGTCACGATTTTAGTTTATAAAATGATAACAGAAAACGACCCTTTTGCCACTGAGGTACAACTGGAATTGTGATCGTAATTACTTGGAAAATAAGCAAATTGTAGTGTAAATACTAAATACAGTTGTGATTATCGACTTATCGGCTGTTCAAACAAAACGTATCAATGTGAAAAATAATTAATTTAAAGTCGACTAAGTATAACATTTTGAGAAGGGATTCTTATATTTGTTATGTCGGAATACTTATGTATACTTTTTTTATTATGTTAGACCAAAAAGTTATGATGTCATGATATAACAATGGACTATTTCAAAGATAAATTAGTGACACAATGCTTTGTTAGTACTGACGGTTAAGCGAAAATGATGTTGAAAGAGCTATAAAAAAGTGACCTGCCCAAAATTATTAAATTAATAGGTCATTTACAAAAACTGAGTAGAGTTACGATTGAAAGTTTTAAATATAATGTATATATTTTTATATATAATTTGATATTTGATATTTGGTTATTCTATATAACAAAAATAAACCCCAACTTGTAAACTTATACTTGTAGACCTAATCTACTAGGTTGGAAAATTAATTTGGTTGTAACTCACTTAAATAAATATAATATTCTAAACCTATTTGACTAATTTAAACAATGATTTGATTTGTAACTTATTTATATAATATAATACTTTTATTTTATTTATATTTTGATATTTAAATAGGTCCATCCAGGTTTATCTATCAATATTACAAATGTTTGGAAAAGCCATATCGACTTAGGTTAAAAATATAAATCTAATTATAAATTGAGTTGAAATTTTCAGCATGTTTAATTAAACATGTTAATCCGAATCAAAAGCCCTTGTTTGAAGCAACGAGACAGTCGAAAGTAAAAACATTTGACATGGGAGTAAATCATAATTGTTGAGAGGGTTATTTTCATAGAAGCTCTTAAATTTATAAAAAAAAAATTGTCGATTTTATGTTAAATATAACTTTTTATGTGATAAAGCCTAATAGTTAAGAAGTTTTTTCAAATTTATGTCTTTTATCAGGTAACCATCAACTTACTCGGTAATCATCACTTAGTTGGAACTTGGAAGGCCATTCCCCTCCAAAAACTCCTGGTGCAACAAAACAAACAACAATTTGCCACCTTCTTTCTTTTCTCTGAATTGAATCGCCACCCCAAGACCCCCGCCTCCAACCACCGAATCGTAATATGGGGACGTCGTCTTCTTTGGTGAGACCTATAGCTGAGCCATGGACAAGTTCAACATTATCGGTTGAACATGGCCAAGGATATAGATTATAGAGGGCCCAAAAAAAAATATGCGTCTGATACTAGTCGTCCCTGGCGAGAATGAAAGGGAAGACAAAAATCAGGTGAAAGAAAATATCGAAGGGAAAATCAATGTTCCTTGAAAGAGTGAAACCGAAGCGAAACGAGAACAAATTTGAAATCGTCATCCTATGGCGAGATAAAATAAAAAAGCCCTTCAAAGACACAATATACCTAAACAATTTACAAAAATCTACTATTTAATTAAAAATATACTTCTTGTACCTTTTTAGATACAAAATAATTAGGAAATTGTCAGAAAAGTCATAATATTTTCAGGAAAGTTATACTTTAGTCCCAAGATTTTTTTTTGAACAAAAAAGTCCCGATTATTTCATTTTGGCTCAAGTTTAACAAAAAGTCCTTTTTTTTCTTCTAACAGGAAATGGCATATTAGCGTGTTTTTAAAAATAATCGGGACTTTAATGTTCAAAAAAAAAAATATTGGAACTAAAGTGTAACTTTCCTGAAAAAATTGGGACTTTTCTGACAATTTCCCCAAAATCATTAGTAATACTATCAAGATAAAATAAACATTGGTTCAGTGATTGTGTCGTGTGCCTTTTACCTGGTTGGTCAAGAGTTTGAATCCAAGAAAGTTGGTTTTCTTTGTTGTTCTAAAAGAACTAGTATCAAGATGAATCTTGTCTAGCATATATTTATCCATACATAAAGTTGTCAAACCATTCATCATTTCTTACGATATCGATGAACTTAAATAATTCTTTAATAACTTCAATTTTGAAAAACATATCTTGATGGATGTTACACTGACAAGAATGGTAATAAGAGGATTCTATATGCAATGCGATTCTAATCGATAAGACTTAGGAATTGAGATGACATAATCAATTAATCCATTATATCAATGTGTGATTGCTTCATAGGTCATCAATTACAATTTGTTGATTGGATTTCTCTCCTTTTGGCTGCAGCTACCCACTTTCTTTATACCTATGATGTTGCTTCTTCCTTGTTCCAATAATCTATTAAATTTAGGCCTTTGAATTTTCTTGCTTCTTTATCTTTTTTTCTTCTTAAAAATAGACCAATAATAATATACTAGTATTACATAGCTCATAAAAATTTTAGGCCTCTTGAAATGATGAGCACTAGACGGTTGCGCCTATCGCCTACCGTCTAGGCCAAGCACACAACCAATTGGTCTATTATGTGGCATGATAACCTACCAAGTGTGTCGTAACCTACTACATTACATTTATAAAAAAGAAAGTCTACAAAGTTTGGAGTTTGAATGGTAAAAAACTGATGTTAAAATAAAACTATTAACATTATATAAATTTTAGGACTTTAATAATGTCATTACCCTACCCTGTATTCCACAACTTCTCTTACTTCTTGAAGCACATGAATATTCATTTTTATATAATTATAAGAAAATACAATGTATTTTTGGTGTTTCACAATAATTTAGATCATTCAACCCTTAACAATATCTCTTACATTAAAACTTATAATTATAATATAAAAGATAGTGTTAACACTCTCCATCATATTATATTATAATCAACATTTAAAAGAATATTTTAGCTATATTCTATTTTATTCAATTTTTATAGTGTAAAAGATAATATTAATGAATAGCATAACAATATATTTAGTGTTATACTATTCACCGATAATATGTATAGACTATAGTGTTAGGTCTAATGTGAGGTTAATTTGAGCATTTTAGTGTAGATTTTAGTATAAAAATTAGTTTAGTGTAGAGTGAGGTTAGAGATACCTTTGTACATGAAAATTGATAATAGAAAAATATAATGAAGTACTCGAATAATATTGTAGTTATGAAAATTTAA